TTCAAATGAGAGTTGTACTATTTTGTTTTAAAGGAGAAAGATTAATTGAAGTAAATGTCGCATTATTTAAAACATTCTATAGAATAAAATTAAAATTTGGGAAAATACACTCAATTAAAAAGTAAAAACTTTGAATACTATCACATTCTGATATTTGGTATGAATAATGCTTTAGAGTAAAACAGAATTTCTTAAGATATTAAATATTCTAGCTGGCCAAAAAATAAAACAAAAAGAAAAACAACCCAAATGATAAATCCCATGTATAACTAAGTTAAAAGAGGCATTAGAAAAAAATGGATCAACATTACAATTATAATAATATATGAAATTTATAAAACATTGTCCATTAAATATTTTGTTTATTAGATTTTTATCCCATTTATTTCTGATTGAGTTTGGGGGGATCTATAACAAAACACACATATTTTAAGATATTTCAACGTAAAGTATTAGGGAAGGAACACAAAGTTATAATGGGAGGTAATTATTAAAAACCTAGAATAAGATGAGTAACTTTAATATAGTCTGTTTGTATGTATGTGTGTATCATCCTTACCGAATAATGTTGCAAATAAATAAGATAATAAATAGGTAAGGATATTTCTCATCCCTGTTAAGAAAATTTGCTGACCTACCTCGATGTGGGGCTAGGAGGACCAGAAGAGATAAACCAAAGAATTTATATACTTATATGCATAGCCCGTGGACATGGGCAATAGGGTGGTGAAGAGTGGGGAGGGGCTGGGAGGAAAGAGGTAAAAGGGGTAAAATGAGAGATAACTGTAATACATCAAGGATAAAAAATATATTTAGAACAAAAAAAAATAAAATTTGCTGTGTCAATGAGATATTCATCTTCTAAAGAATACAAGAAATGAACCCATTAAGCATTAATGTAAGTGGCAGGAAAAAAATGACCAATAAACAGATAGATTGTTACTCCTATATAAATATTAGAAAAAGGAAAAAGGCTAACAAAGTCTATACTTATCTATACAGGAATTAAAAAACATTAACATCGAAGAGAAATGTTCATTCTCCTATTGCAAGTTTTACTATCCATGAATAGCTAAGTCTGCAGGACACTTTAAAAAATGAATTTAATGTAGAATAAAGAAAACTTTTATTAATTTATAAATTAAGTAACATTAAATAAAAAATTGTATTTTTTAAGAAAAAATAGTCCTACCAAAAATATAAACATAGGTAGTAAAATGATATTAATAACATATATTCTCTATAACTAAAATGACAATATTAACATAAATTTAAAAATAATTTTTTGTGATTGCTATTAAAAGGTATAGCAGAATTTTAAAAATATATTCATAGAGGAGTGGGAAATGGAATGTACCTAATTCACAAAGAAACAATTCCAGCCCAGTTGGTGTAGCTCAGTGGTTGAGCATCGACCTATGAACCTGGAGGTCACTGTTCGATTCCCAGTCAGGGCACATGCCCAGGTTGTGGGACATGCAGGAGGCAGCCAATCAATGATTCTCTATCATCATTGATGTTTCTATCTCTCTCTCCCTTTCCCTTCCTCTCTGCAATCAATAAAAATATATATATTTTTAAAAATAAACAATTCCAAGAAATGTCTTTTGCATAACTTACAGATGAGACTAGGTGGAAAGTTGGTAATATGTTTCAATTACCTCTTCAGACAAATATCAGTATAACAAGAAAGCTATAGGAAGAAAAGCTCTAACCATTTTTTTAATATAGCATACCATCACTATGAAATAAATAGGGTATATATAATTTGAAATCCTTTTTATTTGTACACAATGGTTTTCCAAGGTAGCAATGATAGTAAGATTCTGGATTTTTCTTAACTACTACAGTCAAAAGAAAATTACAGGAATGTCTGAAGATATTATTTGATATTAAAGATGGTACTAGCAGAAAGTTTGATAGTTAAAACTATGCTGCAGAAAAGTCTCTTTACCAAATACAAAAACGAAATTAACAGGTAGCAATTTGCTTTGGCTTTCCATGATTCTGCTCCACCATTCTTTCCTTACCTGATAGATTTTTAAAATAATAATTACATATACTGACTGTGAGATAAAAGACTTAGATGCTCTGACAGGAAAAATCACAAGGAGTACATGGAATGACAAAATGATGCACAATGGAGTATGGCTAAGGGTCTTTCCTTAACATAAGAACATCTTACTATTCAAGCAAAGAAAGTATATACTTTTCAACTTTTCCTTTCTGGGAGAATTCAGTAAACAGTGCTTTCAAAAAAAATTAAGAAAATATACATTTGGTGATACAAGACATTTTAAAGATAAGATGATAAGCTAGCACACTCAATTGAAAAAAATGCTTATGAAGTAGATAGAAAAGAGAGGAATCAAAAATATCATGTAAGAAAAACTAAAATGCAAAAAATTTTAAGTTTACATTGGAAAAATTCATAATAAAACTCATAAACAAAATGTCAATTATTGAATTTATGATATAGAAGACAAAATTTCCCAGTTTATGTGGAAAAGAAAATTACCAGGGAGAAAAGGCATTTATGGAAAAGAAATCCTACTAAATAAAATACTTAAAATATTTATTTTAAGCCTGAAAATAATAGTTTTCTATATCAAATTTCGGGCAATATTTTAGATATGTATTATTTTAGATATAAGTATTTTAGATACAATTAAATACTTTTGATGTAAAAAATGAGAGACTACTGACTTACATTTAGTTTTGTTTATTTGGGTGTTTTTTTCATATGATTTACTACTAAATAGCCATTAAAATTTGAATTTCCAAAAGTTTTTAATGCTACGGTAATATTTATTTACAATTTAGGTGACAGAAGCAGTATACTAGAGGCCTGTTGCACGAAAAGATTCGTGCAATAGCCCTTCCCATCCCCTGGCTGCCGGCACCGGTTTTCCTCCAGCACCCGGGACCCAGGCCTTCGCTCCTGCCGGAGGCGCCTCCAAGCCTCTTGAGACTCCAGCGGCTGGAATTTTTGCTCGGGCTGCTTCGTGTCTACGTATGCAAGTTAACTGCCATCTTTGTTGACGGTTAATTTGCATATCTTGCTGATTAGCCAATGGGAGACGTAGCGAAGGTACAGTCAATTTCAATCGTTGTCTATTATTAGATAGGATTATAATAGTAACTTTGTAAATATACATACTCACACATATTTAGAAAATACATTTAGATTCTCAAAGGTTATTAGGAGTAACTAAATTGGGCGTGGTCAGTGTCACTCAGTGGTTAGAGTGCCAGCCTTCGCACCAAAGGGTTAAGCGTTCAATTCACTGTCAAGGGCATGTACCTGGGTTGCAGGTTCCATCCCTGCCCCATCAGGACATGTGAGGGCACGTGGGGGAGGGAGGCAGCCAATCAATGTATCTGTCTGTCTGTCTGTTTCTGTCTCTGTCTCTTTCTCGTCCTCCCCCTCTCTCTCCCTTCTACTTTCTCTAAAAATTAAAGGAAAAAATATCCTTCGGTGAGGATTAACAAAAAGTCAGGGCAATTCATTCACCATTTACTGAGTACATATGGTAAAGGGCTATCAAGCCCAGGAATATAACAATGAATGATGCTTACAAAATATCAACATTTAGTGAACTTATAAAACTAGGGATAAGAGACAAAAACAGCCCTAACCGGTTTGGCTCAGTGGGTAGAGCATTGGCCTGTGGACTAAAAGGTCCCAGGTTTGATTCTGGTCAAGGGCATGTACCTTGGTTGCAGGCACATTCCCAGTAGGAGGTTTGCAGGAGGCAGCTGATCAATATTTCTCTCTCATCGATGTTTCCAACTCTCTATCCCTCTCCCTTCCTCTCTGTAAAAAATCAATAAAATATATATTTTTTTAAAAAAGAGACAAAAACAATAACATATATAATTTCAAGAACAGTAAGTAAATAGTTTGGAAAGGTATGCAGTGTTGCCTATTTTAAATATAATGGCTAATAAACAACTTCATGTGAACAAATTCTGAGATGAAACCTGAATAATGAGAAGGATTCAAGCACCTGAGATTTGCTAGAAACAGCATCTCAAACAAAAGAAAAAAGAAAACACAAAAGGACTGAGTTGGCTTAGAAGTTGCCATATTTGAGGCATAGGTAAAAGGGCAACTTGGCTGATGCACAGAGAAAAAGGAGTAGACAGGGGCAAAATCTAGTGGCTCCTTGTAGGTAAAGACATGCATTTTATTCTAATTGCAAAGAGAGCCCTTGAAGAACACTAACATTATTTGCATTCATAAAGGGTTGTTCTGGCTGCTTTAGCAAGTGGACTGTATGGGAATGAGTAGGGAGACCAGATTGTTAGTTTGAGCAGTTGTCCAGGCAAAGATGTGTTATTAGCTTTGTTTAGGCCAGGGGTTCTCAAGGGAATGAGAAGGAGTGCATTTTGCCATCCCCAAGGACATTTGACAACGTCTGCAGACATTTTGTTTGTCACATTGGGGTCAGAGTAACCAGCACCTAGTGCATAGAAGCTCAGGATGCCGTTAAATACCCTCCAATGCACAGGCCAGAGCCTCACCCCCAACAGAAATATATCTGGCTCAAAAAGTAAAGAGTATTAAGGCTGAGAATTCCTGATATAGAGTAAAAGAAGTAGAAATTGTGAAAAGTGACTAGATTGTTATAATTAGGCAAAAATTATATATTGGGCACCAAACTTCTTATAGCCTTTTGGAGTCTCATCGGGTAATGTTATCAGAAAGAATATTAAGTTTGCAAATCTTTATTGAATGTAATTTCATGAAATGTATTTGATACATCTTTAACCAGCAATTCATGTGAAGAAGTTTTGGTTTCTATTTTATTTGAAGAGACAACCAGAAAAATGCACAGTCTTTCTTGATTTGTCAATTATCCATGAAGACTAATTTTTTAAAACAAAATCTGAAGATATTTTTAAAAGATTTTAACTGAACAATCTAAGTTTTAATTTATAAGAATATTCACTCAAAAACTTTTTTTTTCCCAGATAAAAAGGAAAAATCTACTCACTTGCCATTCAGTGCTGCTACACCAACTGTGCTTCGGGCAATTGACATACTTGCAACAAAAGTCCACTGCTGACTCTGGGGATCCCATCTCTCCACCGTATTCAGATAGCTCCAGCCATCATGGCCTCCCACAGCATAAATCGGGCCTTCAAGTACGGTCACACCTAGAACATAGAAGTGAAAACTGAATGGATTTATTCCACAGTGAGATTTTAAAAATCAAATTGATAGTAAACAGCCCAGCAGGGGTGGCAAAGTGGTTGAGCATCAATCCATGAACCACAAGGTCACTGGCTCGATTCCTGGTCAGGCTGGGTTGCGGGCTCGATCCCCAGTAGGGGTGTGCAGGAGGCAGCTGATTGATGATGTTTCTCTCTCAGCAATGTTTCCAAACCCCCATTCCTCTCCCTCCCTCTCTCTCTAAAAATCAATAAAAACATATTTAAAAAATTGATGGTAAAATATATGATGCTATTCAGAGTAGGCTGTAGATGTTAGGAAACAATTGCAATGCTGTAGAAACTGTTTACTAAAGTCTAATCATTAAATTGAAAACATTTAGAACCAAAAATAAATAGTATGACCTAGATGCTTTACAAACTTAAAGAAATTTTCTTATTTATGGCCATGTGAAAAAGAAAATTCTAAAATCAGAGTTGATACATCTTGTGCCTCTACGTTGAAGAATATTTTTATACTGCCATTTCAAATACTTTATTACTTTAAGCAATGTTGTATTAAGTAATGTAACATCAATTTGAACAGAGCATAGTATATACCTCTATGTTATTAAGATTACCTTTAATTTCTCCCAGTAATCTTTTTCTAATTAAAAAATTCCTATATAATATATATTTTATCTTTCTTACTTTATTTCAATGTATGCTATCAATATTTATGAATTCAATTTTTTCTTGCTGAATTTGTTTTTTAAGTTATGAAATATTTTTTCTCTATACAGTAGTGATTCTCACCTTAAAGGTATAATTTTTTAATTATTAATGAACCTGCATTAAGTTTGTTTTTGTTCCAGGATACTGATCTTTGACTTACATGGTTATTTAATCCATCTATATTTAATGTAATAGTTGATTATTTTTTTAGATTAGATTTTAATGTTTCTCTTATTCTTTCCATTTATTTTTATTTATTTATTTATTTATGTAAATTTGTCTTTATTGTTGAAAGTGTTACAGATGTCCCCTGTTTCCCCATTGACCCCTTCTCGCCTGCCTTCCCCTGCCACCCCACGGGCCTTCACCACACTATTGTCTGTGTCCATGGGTTATGCACATATGCATATAAGTTCTTTGGTTAATTCTCCCCACCCCCCTGCCTTATTCCATGTCCCTGGATTTATTTTGTTCATCAGTTTATTTTGTTCTTTAGATTCCACATTCTTAAAGAGCACCTACTTTATTTATGATGTACCAGCATTTATGATGGTATATTAAATATAAAAGTCATAGTATGAGTTTATTACTGGTTGATAATTAAGTTAGTAAATTTTAATTAATATAAAAGTAAAATGGTCAGTATAATCCCTCTTAGAATTAGTTATTAAAGCTGCTTTGTTAAGATCTTCAAGCAGGACAAAAGCATAATTGTAACATATTCTTTTATTTTCAAAACTTATATTCCTTTCCCAAACAACTCTAATAGTTGAATACGAACTATATTCCAAGGATTGTATATTTTAATAAACCAAATTTGAAAAATATTCAAGTTTACTTTGAAAATATTCATACTTTATGCTTACAGATTATAAAGAAAGATATTCGTATAGATTACCACAGGATTTCTCAACTCTGGATGCCTTACAATGTGATTTGCATGTTTCTTGCAGCTGCGATGATTCCCTTGCAGAAAGGCCTCATTAAGTGACGTGAATAATTGGACCAGAATAATCTGAAAATCAGAATGATACTTCAATTTCCTCCTTGTGCTTACTAAAAATATCTTTACAGATGTAGGAAAGCAAGGCCAACAATGCAAAAAATATTTTTCTGTGCTATATTCATGTAACAATGTTAAACCTGTATTAAAGCTTAATAATCTAATGAAAACAATAGAAATATCTAAAGTCATTTTTTTTATCCTGATCTAAAGAGGATATTTTTTTTTCATCGATCTTTTAGAGAGAGTGAAAGTTGGAGGGTGAGAGAGAGAGAGAGAGAGAGAGAGGTGAGAGAAACATCAACTGGTTGCCTCCCACTTGGGCCCTGACCTGAGCCGGGAATCAAATCCACAAGAGGAATCAAACCCATTACCCTTTGGTCCACAGGCTGACATTCTAACCACTGAGCAAAACCAGCCAGGACTCTAAAGTGTCTCTAACTTAATTTTTTGTGTCTCTAACTTAATAATTGTATGATTTCTTCTGACAAAAACTTGTAAAATTTATTTTTGATGTTTATAGTTACCAAAATTTTCTTCTTTTAAATTCATATAATTGCTTATATATTTTATACTATACTATAGATATTATTTCCCTTGATAATTCTGCAGTAAAATCTCTTTTAGAACTTTTCTGTATAATTTTCCTTCAAGATAATTCAATGAAAGTAGCAAGCTATCCCACATTTTTAGGTAAGACAGCAAAAGTTAAAGGTAAGCACTTTCCATATGGGTTTTAGTTGCTAGTAATATTTTTTATGCAATCCTACAAAGTATCCCACCCTTGACCTACTGAATCAAAATCTTCATTTTAAGAAAATCCTCAGGTAATATGCATATGAAAGTTTAAGAAGTTACAGTGGTCTCCAAAGTGGAGGACCTCTTCCTCATAGGGTGCACAATGCTATAATCCGGATATGCAAATAATATATTAGAAATTATATTGTCTTATTATTTAATGTGTACCTTTGCATGTTTTATAATAATTGTAGTTTTAAACAATTAATATATTTTTTATAATTTATAAAAATCCTGTTAGAGTAAATAATTAATTTATGAAAAATCTATTGCTGTAAAACTTGTTTACCAATAATCATGCTCATACAAAAATGTTGGAGATTATTTCTTAGCTAATCCCTTGCTTAGCTATCATATTAGTATATACTAATAGCAGGCAAGGTGAGTTTTTGAATCAAAGCTAGAATTGTTTTATAATTAGAGTCAAACCCTTTCTACCGAATTTTTAAAAGGCTAAACACTTACCTTTGATTTCTATATTATCTATGTAGCAGTGACTGATAATTGGCACTAACCCTATTTTTTCTTATCCTATCATAATAAAGCCACTAATTTTTAAGTGGTCGCATAAAATGTAAAAAAAGATAAAACATCAGTCTTTTTTTAGGCAGATGCAACAAATTGACTAAAGCATAGGTACTGGTATGCTGTCTGTAATGATGATGCAATGGATAGAGTAGAAGCAGCATTAGGCAATGAGGTGCCCTGGGGCCTATTGTTAAACACAGGGGACTAACAGCAAAGCTGCTGGTGCTCTCAGGGCTTGACAGCTGAATGGTCTTGCTCACAGATGCTCAAATCCTCCCTTTATTCTTGTTAAACCATTGCTGTTCTGGGTTTTACTCTGAGACCAGCTGACTTTGTTCTAGTCCACTCAACTAGGCGCATTCAACTTTCTGACTTTTTAGATAATACCTGAATCCTTAGCAATATCCACCAAATACTCTAATTTTGTTTTTAAAAAAAATTGTATGTTCCAACATGTATTATGTATTTCAGAGCAATACACATAATGTATAAATGTGAATGTAACCTTATTCTGATTGTCATTAAGTTAAGCCTCTTGAGATGAGGATATCATTTTGAATTAGGCAGATGGTCCCTAAATTCAGTGATGAGTGTCCTTATAAGAAAAACATGGGAGATATGAGGAATATGCCTCTTTCTGTATAGATAGATATAGCTGAACTAAGTTTTAGAATATTTGTACTATATTTTACTTTATTTTTTATTTGTATGCTCTGTATAACAAAAAGAGCAAATAATAATAAGGAGGAGGAGGAGAAAAAAAGAAGAAGAAGAAGAAGGGAAATAGTAATAATACTATATCCACTCAAGAATATGAGTGGGAACTAGGTAGCGGGAGACAAAAGGAAGTATGCATAGATATTCTTTATCTTGTCAGGGAGGATTCTCAGAAATATCCCAGGAGATTTCTCCCATACTTCCCTGTCCAGGGCTCAGTTACAAGCCTATCTTTAGTCTAGAATAATACTGTACAAGGCAGTGGTTTTCAACCTTTTACATCTCATGGCACATATAAACTAATTATTAAAGTTATGCGGCACACAAAAAATATATTTTTGCTGATCTGATAAAAAAAAAAGGTATGATTTTGATTCATTCAAACCAGACAGCTATTGTGGCCATGGCTGTTTGTGGGGGAGTACAGGAGACTTGGTTGGAAAGTTTGTAAGGAGGAAATTCCATCCTAGGCAAGTTGGCTAAAGGCAGCCCACTCTGCTTATCAGAATTCCAACCAAGGGAAGTTGGCCAAAGGCGTCCGCCCCTAATTGTTCCTTGACCTTTCCAAACAAGTTTGTGCATGTGCAGACCCTTGGGTGTTTACCAGAATCTTTATACTTAGTCTTTAGGTGTCTTGCTTAAAGGATATTGCAGACACATGTGTCCTCCCAAGATTACTTACCCTACTGATTGTATCTAAAAGATAAACTTTATCCCAAAATGCTGTTATAATAAAAGCCTGAAGAGGCAGACGAACAAGGCTGTCTGGTTCCTATAGCCAGGCAGTCCCTTAGCCCTCTCTTTCACAGCAAACTTTGTGTCAGAGTAATCCATCATCCATCACTCAGGGTCTGCTGGGCAGCCCCGGAAAGTGGTGCCCCATGTGAGGACCAAGGAACACAACGAGACAGGGCGGAAATCTCAAAAACGAAGAGTAAGAAAATGAAGAGTTACTACACAGTAAGTCATTGGAGTCCATTTGGGATTTCCAGTTTTGATGGGATTGTGTCTTAGCTAAGTTTTCACAATCCGACAGCAGCTGTCTGACAAGTTATTAAAGCAAATGGTGCCTCAGTTACAGAAGAACAATTAAAGAGCCTGTTGCAGACTGTTACAATTTATAATCCTTGGTTCCTTGATGCTAGAACATTAGACCTTGATCTCTGGGAGCAAGTAGGTAGGAATTAAAAGAGAAATCGGGCCCAGGGAAAACGAATGCCCTTGT